CTTTCCAAGTCCTCTAACCCATCTCACTCATTAAATTCTTCTCAATCTTCTTCCTCTCTCTCCTTTCCACAACTCCTTCCCTCCTCCTCTTCTCCAGCACAGATGCACTCCATACTGGGCTGCAATCACCCCACTTTAGCCCTCCCCTGGAGGACCCTCCTGCCTTATCTCGTGGCTCTGCACCTCCTGCACCTGGGATCAGGTAGGGGTCCTGTGGGGTTGCTGTGCCTGGCAGAGGTCTTGCTGTTGGGTGGGGGAGTGGCCATGGGGCAGGCCAGACCCAAGCCCAGCACCCAGACGCACTTGGCTTTCACTTTCACTGCGTTTATTCCATGAAACGTGTGATTTTGGGTAGAATTTCTGTCTCCTCTTCACCTCACCACACGTCGTCAGTGGGCTCCCACCCACACAAATCCTTCCCCACGCCCTCCTGCTCCCTCTCCAGTGCTTTTACATGGGATGGAGCACACACCAACTCACCCTGTGCCGCTCCCTGACCCCACATTCACACAGCCACCATCTCGCTGTCTCTCTGTGTCTTATCATTGCCCAGCCCAGTTCAGGGTGGTGGCACCAAGCCTCCATGTCACTGCCGTCGTTGGACAGGACGTCGTGCTGCGCTGCCACTTGTCCCCTTGCAAGGATGCTGGGAGCTGGGACATCAGATGGATCCAGCAACGGTCCTCTGGCTTTGTGCACCACTACCAAAATGGAATTGACCTGGAGCAGATGGCGGAATATAAAGGGAGGACAGAACTGCTCAGAGATGGTCTCTCTGATGGAAACCTGGATCTGCGCATCACAGCTGTGAGATCCTCTGATAGTGGCTCGTACATCTGTGCTGTGCAAGATGGTGATGGCTATGCAGAAGCTGTGGTGAACCTGGAGGTGTCAGGTCAGTGGCTGGGGTGTCCATGCATGGAGAGCTGAATGACAGCAGCCTTTGGAAGAGGTCGGGGCTGAACTGCTCCATGAGACGCTGGAGTTGCAGTGTGTGCACGGTGTGATTTGGGGATGGATTTGCATGGAT